TTGCTCTAATAGATCTTGAATGGAGAGTGTCTAATAAAACCTTTTACACTGAATTATTGAACTTACAACCTGGTTCTAAGTATCAAATAGGAGTAGTGGCAATTAATGAAGGCTTTGAAGGCCCTAACATCACAACTACAGTAGAAACTGTGATTGGAACTCCAGATCCCAACCCTCCTGACATAGAAATCAGAGAACGGAGAGGAGACAGAATGGTGGTGCACATCCCTGAAGCTAAGAATGTGAACGGCCCAGTGTCTATGTATAGGATAGTAGTCTCAATAGAGTTGTATCAACAAGGGTTTATTGTGGAAAACCTGGGGAATTACACATATGCCAGTGATCAAGGGCTCCCCTACTACATTACCGCAGAGTTGGACCCTGATGATATTAAACATGATTTTATCATTGGCGACAGACATACATACAATGGCTTCTACAATGCTCCTCTGCCATTGACAAATGATATAGATGTGTCCTTAGGAGTGGTAAGTGAAAAGGATTTTGTAAAAAAAATCAGGTATGCAGAATCGACAAAAAAAATTATATTAAATATCAATGAACCAGAGGAAACTTCTCCCTTGGTAATAGCACTTGGGGCAGCTATTGCTATCAGTGTGGTTTTACTTCTAATTGGAGTTGGGCTGCTCATTATTTTACGTAAGAGAATACAGCTAGTACGATCTCAAAGAGGGTCCCAGTCAATGCCATTAAGTCTTAGCGAACCATGTATGGAGATAGAGAATTCAGGTTTTATAGAAGAAGAACATGAAAGAGTTGATTATTACAGCAATTTAAAAAGGAAACTGTGGAACATACCCAGAAACCTTATAGAAATTGACATTTCTTGCATTGTTGGTGTTGGCAGCTATGGCAAATTTACCAGAGGAAAAGTGCAACAACATGGTGCCCAGACTCCTGGCCTAGTGCAAGTGGTAGCTGACAGGGAGCTGGAGAGACCAGATAAGAAACTGATGCTCCAGGAACTGGACCAACTCATCAAGTCCAGTGAACATGAGAATGTAATCTCACTCATAGGGTTCTGTGAAACTAACACAACATTGTTTGTAGTTCTTGAAGATAGCAAACAGAGTTTAAAGGATTTGCTCCTCCAGAGCAGACAAAGAGATCTTCAAAACAACAAATTCTGTCTGATACCAGAAAACAGGCTGCTTCAATACTTTGTTGAAATTGCCCAAGGAATGGAATACTTGCATAGTAAGAAAATCCTACACAAGCGCCTAAGTTGTCGTAACATCTCGCTCAGTGAAAACGGCGTTGCTAAAGTGTCCGGGTTTGGTTTATCTCACATGCGACCATTGCACGAGACTCCAGATTACACGCGCTGGACTTCTCATGAGATGTTGCGACTGACTAGGTTTAACCCTAAGGCAGATGTTTGGTCGTTTGGTATCCTCATGTGGGAAGCACTCACGATAGGTGCCACCCCATATTTCCATAGCGCAAATAAAGACGTTGCAGCCCGAATTCTCCGAGGCATGCGGCCATCACAACCGTCGTACGTAGGCGACGATCTGTTCCAACTCTCCCTGCAGTGCTGGCAGGTGGATCCTGACGAGAGACCCACCTTCTCTGACTTAGTACACGAATTGAGGCCATTTGCCGAAGCTTCTGGTTGCAGGAGTCTGAGTTTTACTCATTATAATGGTTTCAATTACGAACCACATGTAGCGCAGTACGAAATTGTATCATAGTATTTTATGGATTTAGACAACTAACCAAAACATAGGTTTATGAGCATCCAAAGAGTTATATTTGATACTCCAGGGTAATACGAGGTCGGGAAATTATCAGCAATATTTTCAAAACTAGATTGTTGTGTTCTGATTACCATATGTATTGTTGGTTCGCCATGCAAGTTAACAGAGAAGCTAGCGGTTGTAGTCATGCGGAAAAAATTATCACGCGCTGTTGACCGCTTGCGGCACCAATACCAACCACGGTGAATTGCTTATTTTACACTGACAAAGCTCCACTAAAAGACATTTAGACTAATTTAATGTAGTAGTTAGTTGTCATCTTGTATAAATGGCGCATAGAAATAATTGTATGTGACTGCATTTTTTTTAATGTTTAATTTTAAATAAGAAAATGTTGATTTAACTAATTAACTTTCTACTGTAAGTATATCAACATATTAGAATATATTTTACAAGTTTTCGCTTACACTAACCCAATTAACCACATTATAAACTCAAAAGTACGTAGACCTATTTCGCACGTTGAAGTCCACGCTTCACGTAGGTGACAATCCATAACATGTTACCTTTCTCAACAAATGTAGACTTTATCACGTACCTAGTTCTAAGTATAGCATAGCATTTACAGGAATTTCAGCAATAACAAAGAGTGATCCTTCAAAATATACCTTAATTGTACTTAAGTGGATAATTTTTGTATAAAATAAATATTTATCCGAGTTTCCTACAATATGTATCTTGTTGAGTTACAATTTATAAACACATTCCATCAATTTATAAAATAATCGTACTTATGTTGCTAGTTAGATATTAGGTAGGTAAATAGTATTTTACGTGTCAAAACTAAATATTAACCCATTTTATGAATATTAAATGGCTTGGCATAATGCTTGTAAAAGGCAGGGTGAGTTAGCGATTAGGTGTGATGGAATTGATAATAATCAATAACTGTTCGATTTTATAGTTTTATTTTCATGATCTGTTTATTTTTCGGTCTATATTATATTCAGTATCTAAAATAATTTGTATGTTTATAAGATAAACTGTAACTTTTATTAATTTCTAATTAAAATCATTGGAAGATAATCTCACATAGGTAGGTAATATGAATTTTAATTCTAATATGTATCAAGAATACTACTAGCTTTCTTACTTTTCTTTATGGGACTACGATCACGGGAAGTATTACCGTGTTACCACTATAGACATGTTAGGGTAAATATGACACTGATGTATTTTATTATCTGCCTGATATTATTTATGTTTTTATATCTTTTACTTCTCCTTATAGTGTGTATTTTAATTTTTAAGATTTTCTATAAATATTGAGTGATCTGACTTGACATAAGAAAATCCGTCCATTTATTCGTATTTTTGTACGAAATCTCATTTTTGTGTAAATTTTGTAACATGTAACCAGTATATTTTTTTGATAATAAAACTAGACGTATCTTATACAATGTTTGTTTCATTTTGCTGAAGAGCTGTTGTTTTTCAAGGAGGTAATGTCTGCAAAAGAGGTGGCGGTGAAGGAATGTGAAATGCTTAGCATTCCTGCCGCAGAAGGCGCTGTAACTCTGCGAACCCCTTTTTTGTGAGCGTGTGAGGAAAAAATTATCAAATGACTACTCTCGCAGCTGAGGCGAGAAAGATTGTCAGACTCTTACTGACTAAACACACCTGCCATTCTATCTCGTGCTCTAGCACATTCAGTGCCTATACATTAATGTATTGGACGCACAGGTGCGTCGAGGGCACACAGAGTAGCGTAAGGAAACGCACATACGCGTCGCGCACCTGTGCGTCCAATACATTAATGTATAGAACGCACAGGTGCGTCGAGGGCACACAGAGTAGCGTAAGGAAACGCACATACGCGTCGGGGGCACTGGATGTGCTAGACCGAAGCCCCGGTACCTTATTGCGCTTGCTCCGTAATCCCGGCTGAACATCGGCCCGTCTGTGGTGGTCTATTGGCTTAATAAGGCGCCCGCGGAATGCTACGCGCCGTATGCTCGGCTGTGCTTCTGCGGCGAGCAAGGGTACTTACGGCGCACTTACGGTGGCCAGAGATCGTAGCTCGATCATTCTTCTTTTCGAGCCTCACTGCTGTGTGGTGTGAGAGGAAACCTCCCAGTTCCTCGTGGTCCGCACTTTACTTACGACGACGCAAAAGGTCGCCGCATCGCCTCCCTCAGGACACTGCGGTGGCCAGCCCAAGCAGGGCACACCGGCACCGTATGTTTACCGTGTCATCCGGGTGGTCCTTACAATAACGACCCCCGACAGTTTCCTTCTGCCGTATAGAATAGGCACCTGCCGAAGCTTCCGTGTTCGGTAAAGACCCGCTAAACCCTTACACTAGACCGGGACTGGCGTAGGTAGGCAAGTCAGGGTGCAAGGTGAAGGTCGGGTATTCGCGGCACCGTCAGCTCCAATAGAAAGAAATAAAAATATTTCACGGTAAAAAACAAGTGACATGTACCAATTAAGAAATTCTGTTTGGAAATATTAATGGTTACATGTTCATGTCCCAAGTCTTCCGTGAAATCCAATCATAATAAATACATCACATGACGTTTCAATTTAGTAAGTACCTACTCATAAAGTACTGTTAATTCATCAAACCCCAACGCCGACGTTCGCGCACCCATTATTCTTCTGTTGTGTCTCGCATTACCACGATTGAGAGAAAGGTTAAATGTGATTATTTAATAAGGTAATTATATATTTTTGTGAGTCCAGTACTCGGTTGCTTGTGAAGGTGCTACCAACGCCTGTGCTATTAGCTGGCTGACCCCGAGCGTACGCGGTAAAGGCGGATCTGCACATGGTACCTACTTGAGCTTTGTTGGTGCGACTCCGACACAATACTGTTGGTACCAGTTTGAAAAAAGGCCTTGAATCAAGTAGGTACTTAGGTACTGTCTCCCTAGTTGCCCCTACATTATGTAGGTAGGTACACAAATTCGTATTAATCACTCTACCACCATCAGGGATTTTGAGCGGAAATCGAAATTGTTAAACAAGTTTAACTATTTTTTATGGAAGGTTAGTAAAGATTTAATGGTTTGAATTCTGGGCTACGACGATTATAAACTCTCTCAAGAATGTCGTCCAATTCAAGTGTAATCTCCTGAATCTGCAGCACAGCAGAGGTTAATGTGTGGCGTAGAGAGTAATGCCCAGTTCATAGCTAGGTATATAATGGTGCCTATTTGAGTGGGTACAAGGTTGAAAGTAGAAAGATGCATTTTGAGGAGGTGCGAGTATCAATTGAAACGACATTATTAAATTTTTGCATTTATTAATGTTAATATAATATAGACAATGTTCAAGGTACCTTTCAATTGGTTTCGAGCTTTTAAACACTAAGACATTGTATCCTTCCATTTTACCTCTTATCATTTACAACATTGCAAAATAACACTTCATTAGAAAATCAATCTGAGAGTACAACTAACTAAACAATAATAAACATTGACTAAAATATAGTGAATTTTTAATTCAAAACATATTTATTATTCAACATTGTTTTTAAATTCAAACTTAATTAAAAATTATATTCTCGTTACATAACATTGCAGACCCGTTTATCGTAAACCAAGTTAACAAAAATATTAATAATAAAAAATAAAAATTCCATCACTGAACTGTACAGCAACAAATGTTATCAACGTATGACATTTTACACATAACGTACGGAGCCGGAGCTCGCTCTATACATACTTATAATACGCAACAAGTTATAATTCAATAGAATTAGTATAACATATCAATCTCAACATGTGTAAAGGTTGATGAGACAACGACTGATCGGCGCTCGAGAGGCCGAGGGGCCGAGGGGCCGAGAGGCCGAGAGGCCGGAACGTACGCGGCGGGCGCGCGGCCGAGGCCGAGGCAGCCCGCTCCCTCCGTACACTCGCAGCGGCGGCCGACTCACGGAATCTTTAACTTGGGCGTTAACAATAAAACTGACGTGTAACAATGAAAACGTTAAACACCGCGAGTGTACTGCGAGAATCGCACACGACTACGCCCTGGCGGACTAGCCCACATGAAACACAGCGAAATTTTATTTTAATGATTAATAAACAATTATATATTACAATTAAATCCCTACCGTTTGGGACGCGTTCGTGACGATGTCAATATGCGCGAGTTGATTCCTCAGTCTTTAATAAATTGATGACAATGAGCAAGGAGAGTAACGTAAATGAAAAATGTTATGCAATTATATACAGATAGTGAGTGGAGCGCGCTCTGAGTACGGCCGAGTACTGCCGAGTGTTGCCGAGTACTGCCGAGTGTTGCCGAGTACAGCCGAGTGTTGCCGAGCTCCGCGAGTACAGCGACGAGCGCGCGAGCGTCGTGTGCGATTCGCGCCCATCAGAAACAAGCGTTATGGTGATGTCTTAATGTTGAGTTCGACTTGAACGCACAGCCATTTTCCTAAACACAGTATCGAACCTTAGTCTATCCTAGCGCACCCAACGGCTGCCACCTTCGCGTGTATACCCACTAGACTACCTATAGTAATTACAATAAACCACTCTATCAACAAATTCAACAACATTTAGCTATTAAAATTAAAATGGGAGGATGCGAGGAGACGCGCGGCCAGAGTGTCGCCACGTGCCGGCTCGGAGTGCCGAGGGAAACCTCTGCGGTAGTTCCGTATTATGAAGAATGACAACTAGCTACCTTATCCTACAACATTGAAATTCCTTAATGGTAACAGCATTACAGTGAGGGTGCGGGAGTGGCGCGCTGCCTGTGCAGGGTCGGGGCGATCAACGATCATCTACTGCTTATTATCTTGCCACGCGATTATTTACCCGGATAATGATTACCGCACTTAAAATATTTTGTATTCACGTTAATATACTCTCAAATATTGTAACAACTTCAGTATAACAACATTAACATTTTCCCAGTAATTTTAAAATTATCTAATTATATTGATTTAAATATGTTAATTATAACTAACTAGAGTTCCATTGTTAACTATCAAGTGTCGGCGCGGCGTCGGCCCGTGTCGTACAGCGAGCGAGGACTAGAGAGGCCCAGCCTACCGTACCGCTGGCCGCGAGCCGAGTGTCCGCCGCGCCCTCTAACAACACAGTCACTAAGAAAGAGAAAAAGAGAGAGTGAAGAAACGAGACGGAAACTATGTCTACCCCCAGAGCTCGCCCGAACCGTGAAATGATATTAATTCTTTTGGAAACCATACACTTCTTTTAATTGACGCATTTGACTTATACGTACCGACTAATCAAGATTTAGTTGCGTAAAATTGAGCTTGTTAAATCGACGTGACAGGCGATTCGCGTTCTGGCCGCGGCCGACACGACCGTCGTCTGTGTGCTCGCGGTCACTGCCTACCCCCCCCCCCCCTACCCCCACGCGTCACTTCATCTTCCCCGCCAGCAACGTCTCGCGAAGACATTGTCACCCTTCAGTACCCAGCTATAGCCACCGCGAACGCACAGACATATTAATTAATTGACACAAGACGATATCTGTACCTACCCCCATTATACATAGTTAAGATGAGAAAATTCGAAAACACCGGAAATGTATCCAACAGCTTTACTTATGTATATACTTTAAAGATTGAATATTATATAAATATTAACTAGCTACGGTAATGCCACACTACACTGCGAATGTTAACTACATAACACACGTATATATGTAATAGATCAGTTAACAATATCCACGGCCGGCGCATGCGCACGGCTTACAACGACACATTACTATTATTTCACTCTCACGGAAGTACGAGGTTATGGCGAATAGAACGTGCTCACTTCCCTAATTATTAATTATTTAAAATATTTTTATTATTATAATCGCGTAATTGTGAATGAATTATTAGCTGAGAAATTGTCTCTCAATTCCGATTCCTTAAACACTATAATCGTACATTAGCTTTCATCATTAAGCCGATTTCAAATTATTATATCATTTATTATGAATACGTTTTCTTTTGTACTTCATACGTTTATTCACATTTGATGTAGTCACCGCCTTCGTGAGTCAACCAGTACTGTCAGACTATCTGCATTCCCGTGTTGGCGCCCGACGTGGGCCCAGCAAGTAGTCGCGTCAAGCATGCAACATGCCAGGAGGCTCACCTCACTAATCCTGTATCTAGAACGATGGCACTTCTGAGGTAAACAAACACAACTTATAACTACCCTCCGACGAAGTACCGAACGGCTTCTACACTAAGTGGAGACTGACACGTAGTACCTTGACAATGTCGACGAAAACAATCACAGTTTATAATATTATGTAACTCTACCGCCACACGCAGGCCGCTGGAGCCAGGGGCCGGCGTCTGGACACTAACAGACACTAAAAGAACGTCTTGGTTAAACGACGGCGCAAAAATAAAATATTCAATCAATATAGTAACTGTAAATAAGAATATATCATTTATATTGTCATCTCGATATATAGAAATCTGCATTTAAAATGTTTAAAATATTTTCTTATTACTTTCATCTACTAGTCTGGACATGCATTTACTATTATTATTATTATTCATTAAATTGTACTTATATCGTAAGACAAATTTAGACCGACAACAAATCAATAACTATGAAACATTCCTAATAAAAAAAATATTTAAAAACGATTAGATATTTTCATTTTGTTTATAAATGTATAAAAAAATAAAGATCTTTACCGAGAGAAATGAGGAATGAACAAGTGGTCGGCAAGTTAGTCCCGTCTACCGGCGCGCGACTATTGCAACATGCCCGGCGCCCGCCACGGCCGTGGTCGGGCTAAACAAAGTATAAGGTCCGGCTCGCTCGGTAGAGGGCGTAACAAGTCGACGCTTGCGGTAGCATGTCAGTAAATAAAACTTTGGTAGGACTCAGCTCCCAAACTCCCACAGGTTGCGTATAACGAGACGTCGCGCGTACGGTTATTATCCATTAATTAACCACATCACTAATCCTAATAAACTAAACAAAAATAACTTATCAATGGTAACATTTACAATGAACTCAACTTTGTAAATAAAAAAACATGTATGCTGTGGTGAATAATATACAAAAATAATATGTGTATGGAATAGGAATTTCCGTGATAGGAGATATCACAATATTTTCATTATTATATCTTAAACAACAATAACGTCTGCTAGGCAGAACAAAATAATGACTTGTCATCACGATAAGAACGTAAAGTGAGCGGCGGGGCCCGCGGGCGCAGGCAGCTGCATAAATTATATCCTCCGTCAGATTAAAACAAAACAAAACTTCTTAACTAGAGTCAGGTAACTCGCGCCAATAGTTTAGGGTCTGTGATCCAACAGTGTTTGACTAGAACTAGACACTACGCTAGAACGAAATACAAGCAATGTACAGAGTGTAGTCGGGGCGGTTACTGCATGAGGCCGGAGATGGCGTTGTGGCGCGTGCGCTTGAGCTCCTCCTCCTGGATCTTCTGCTCGATGAGGTACTGCGCGTTGCTGATGGCCGTCGCCGTGCCCGTGATGGTCACGATGCGGTTGCGGGTGCCCGGCGCGAACGTGCCCTTCTTCGAGATCTGGATGTTGGCGCCCGACATCTGCTGGATCTCCACCAGGCTGCGCCCGCCGGGGCCTGCAACGCGACATCACAAGCTCTTACAACAAACAACTCAAATGGATTCTCATAACAGAATGTCTACAAATTTTGGACAGAGATCTTCTTCTAGTAGCTATGTCACGAATCTTATGCAATATATAGATATTGGCATAATCCGGACATTATTGCTAAAGTAAATTTTGCAAAAATAGAACTTATTATGGTACTTTGCCCGTCGCTAGATTCAATTCAATTGTTTTTTTTTTGTATACTAAAAAGTAAGGCCATCTGTTTGTAAGTCATTTGTGGCTAGTAAAAGAAAAGGTAAGTGTAAAACGTGACTGACCTAGTATAGCCCCGACGATGACCTCTGCGATCTCGACATTCTTGGAGTCCTTGGCCCCCGCGTCGGCGGGCGTGGGGCTCTTGGACAGCGGCAGCAGCGAGGCAGAGGGGAAGCCGGCCACGCCTCCCACGCCACCCACGCCTCCAACGCTGCCCACGCCGGCCGACAGCGAGATAGGCGCCACGGCTGGGGGGCGAAGCGCCTCGAATGCAACCTCCGCGAAACGCTCTAAGGAGCCGCCGCGCGCGCCGCCTGCGGACGCGTCATACGTCAGCACCCGCACTGCGCCCGCCCTCCCGCGCCCTCCCCTCCCCCCTCGCCCCGCGGCACTCACACCTTACATTAGAACGTTTCGCGCTGTTGCGGACAGAGTTACGTGTTAGCGTGGCCCCGCCGCCCGCGCCGCCCGCACCTAGCGAGCGCTGCTCCACGCACCTACACTACCGCGCCCAGAACATTGCATCGCATATTTCAGCGTGCGCCTGCCTCGCCAGACTTAATCAGACTCCCCGCTCTCCGTTACCTACGCAGGCCTCGGCCAAATTTTCATCTTTCCTTTAAGACCACACGAGATCAAAACAACAAAATTATTTGTATAGAATTGTTCTGTCTTTTATAAATCCATTTACGTTTGGCAGCAGACTAGTTCGCTTTTATGTAAACATTAAACAATATACATAATATGCAACATAACATAAAATTTGGTAACATATGTAACAAAAAGTACAACAATGACAGACAGTAACTAGCATAATTTAGGTAAATGTAGACACGCTGAAATATCGTAAAATTTTGAGTTCGTGAGTATGCAGCTATGCAAGTCTGAGGTCTGCAAGTACTGTCATGCATGGGACAGTGCGCACTAGTGTAGCACTAGCGAGTGCGGAACTAGGTGCTGTGCGGGACGACGCCGCGGACCATCAACAGATACATGAATACACGCAAAAGAACAACTTTACCGATCGCCGCATTTGTTGGTGTCTCATAGAAAAACTTAACTTTATTTACATTCTCACAAATTGTCTACAACTACACAGGACTATAATGTGATCAAAGTAAAGTATGCGATTGAGAATAGCAACATATCTTGCACACACTGCTGGAAGTCACAACGTACATACTATGTTTACAGAACGTATCGCCAACTTACAATATTGTACTTTAAAGTTGTTCTTTCTAGTCTGTTGTGACGTGGACCGGACTTCATCAAGAACTTTAACAGATTGTCTTATATCCAGAATGTGATAGTTTCTACTAGTTGGCTAAATCAAATAGAATGGTTGGGCCACAGAGGTCGCACGGTCCACGACACAAGCTCATGTTATGTATTGCCGACAGAATGGTATGGTAAAGCGATGGTCAAGAATTTGGAAAAGAACTTTAGAAAGATTAAATAAACATTAAAAAAATAAAACTGTAAGCCAATAGTGTTATTAGGATCAGCAATACAACACGTGATACACCATCAAATTATTCTAAGCATGCAAGTATAACGACATAGTATACAGTCTTTCTTAGTATATAACCGTGTTTCGTTTCAAAAGTCATTATATTTCACGGCCACTGCATAGAACATTATGCCTGACGTGATCTAGTCTTTTTGGTAGCACTTATAGGCCCACATCATTTGCTGTGTGTAATCTGATATCACATCCACACCTGAAAAACGTCTGTGCATTAGACACGATGCCACGGGAGCATGCAGGTAGCGGTCTTATGATTCATTTTGTTTTGGAACCAGACAATAACTTCATCGAAATATATGAAATGTACTTGTGAGTTTTCATTTGAAATAAAACACGGCAGAGTGAGAACGAAAGCATATTTGAAAGTTATTGATTAATTATCACGATAGCCAATCAGATACCAAGACAGAATGACAAAGCTGTGTGAAATTTAGAATTTGGAAGCGATGTGTGAGGGAATGGTACCACAGACGGATGCCACGACACTGCCACCTCCGCGCGAGCCGGGCGGGTACCGAACGTCAACATTTTTGGAAAAATCGAATCATCTTTACACTTTCATGTTTATAATCGATTTACTCACACAAATATACTGAAATTAGTCAATTTAGTAGTACCCTTGTAACAATCAACTCTTGATCAATTTCAGTATATTTTTGTAATTACCTTCAAATACATAATTGTAAAACAATAATTATTTGTCCTGTACAGAATTTTTGAACTAACTTAATTGGCTAGCTGGATTTTAAAATATTTTTAAGATTCCAGAAAAGGTTCACTATTGCAACTTCAAAACTCTGTACAGGAAATATTTATTAACAAAACCAGTAATGAATATCTTATGTTTTTTGCACAAGTTGTCTAAAATTAGCAACATGTTGTATACCATTAAGAAATGTAATAAATACAATTACTGGCTTTATCAATATAGTATTTCAATGATTATATTATACTGTGTCTGTGTGTTGCCAGCTAGCTGTTTAAACATATAAACTTTTCATGTCATTTGGGACTATTACTGATCAAGTTATTTGTTTTACATTTTACTTTAATAACTTTTTTTGGCTGGCTCCTTTTGTTACACTGCCGATATTGTGTATTGATTCAGTGTTTCATCAGCTAGTCCGTCGTGACTGCGGTGCTTTATACAGGCAACGTGTCTTAAATGCGCAAACATTGCGGAAAAAATTGCGCAGTTGCGCAAAATTTTCACCGTTGCGCATATCGATAAATTACATTTTGATTAATACTGTGCTAGTTGCATGAATACACGCCTTACGTTGTTTTTATGTGCGTGGAGAAAGCACAGCGGTCTAGATACTGCGTCCTAAGGCTTATTTAAGTTAATAATTAGAATTGGAATGTTACTGACTAATTTAAAATCATTATTCTGATTTAGAAACTGTTAGCAAGTAGAAAAATAAGACTCGGATAACGCAGAAGGGTTCAAGTAAGTTCGTGTAAGGGGTGTGGGTGTGGTGGGGCGGAGTACGTACCGAGCGGCACCTGTCCGATGGGCCCGAAGACGGCGGGCGGGTCCTGCGCCGGCAGCGGGAAGTAGGCGGCCGACAGCGGCGGCGCGGGCAGCGCGGCCGGCAGCGCCAGGCCCAGCACGCCGTGCTTGACGAGCAGCGCCAGCGCCGCGCCGATCTCGGAGATGCCGGCCTCGCTGTAGCCGGCCTGGCGCAGCGCCGCCTTGATGTGGTCCAGCGTGTGCTGCGTCAGCGGCGCGGGCGGCTGCGACCCGGGCGGCGCCAGCGACAGCGACAGCGACAGCGCGCCCAGCCCGCCCGCCACGCCGCCCACGCCCGCGCCGTTCACCAGCACGCCGCCCACGCCTCCTCCCACGCCGCCCAGCGCGTGGTTCTGTCACACGGATACGCTCAGTACGGGTCACGCCGCGCACGCCTCGCACCACTGACACTTCTTTTGTGTTGCATTATTTTACAAAAATAGCTATTTTTCCTCCGACCAATAAGCACACATTTCACATTGACTGATAAATATGCGTGCACTTCAATTACAAGTTGGAAAACACAGAGAGATATATCTCTAACATTTAAACATTCATGTATTTGTGTCACGTGTGGAAAATTAAATAAAGATAACTCAAACCCGATAACCGTATAAATACAAGACCCCCAACCAAATAAATATTTATAAATGTATAGAGAATAGAAGAACCCAGGTCAAGATGTAGGACAGTTAGTACAGTGTACAAGTACTAGTGTACACACAGTGTAAGCGGTTAGTGTCAGTGTCTCCGTCCGCTCCACGCGCCCGCCCCACCCACTCGTGCCAAACACGCCAGTGCTTTGTTGAGGTCTTTCCTTTTCAATATTTGGCACTCGATACGAAACATGTATATTTAATCGAGTTAAGCTAATTTTGACATTTTAAACTATTTATTTTTACACATATCAATAGAAAAATTGCCAAATTTGTCCGTATCGAGTAGCATCATTTAGCATATATTGTCTCAGCGGGCTGGCACAGTAGAGGTGTTGGGGCGCGCGTGTGCGTCGGTGCGGGTGTGCGCATGCATGTCGGTCGCCGCAGCCACCACTAGCACACGCTCGTGTCACGGGGGGCGCCGCCTGCCGCTACACTCGCCGCGACATAGCCAAGGGTGTAGCGGCGCGCCGGCGGCCCCGCAAGCTGGGGTCTGTCACGACATAGGAGCGTGTACGAGAGGTCACCTCTTTCACCTCAGCGGTGGGCACGGCGTAGGGCGAGCCCGTCGGGTTGTAGTTGGCCACGGGCCCCGCCACGTCCGCGTACGACACGTTGGGGCACGACCCGGACTGCGGGTCGTCCACCACCTTCTGCAGGATCATCAGGCAGGCCTTCTTGTTGTTCTCCTTTTCACCTGAAAAAAGTTAAATTTTTATTAGACAAGTGCTTACTACATTTCTCATATAATTTGGCGCCTGTGTTGCTTGTGTATTGTTCCTGTTTGTTTCTGTGCAAGTATTCAGTGCCAACGTTATTTATTACTAGTTTATTTATTAAAGTCTAAACTTAATATATCTTTGTAAATTGGTCAAAGCCGAAGCTGTGACGCCGCGCGTGTGGCGTATATAGTTATTGTAGTATTAACATATACATATATTTGCAACATAGTGACGGTGGCAGTGGGCCAGCAACGTGCCGCCAGTTCTGCACCATTTCACGCATTGTTCCTGCTAATGCCACTGTCACTAGTTTAGTAGCATCCACACAGGTACCGATAGCCAACAACTGTCCATTGCGCTCGTAAATATCTCTAATTGGATTATAAATCCGCCGCTCTGATTTACTTCACTAACGTTAATAATAACGACCTCTCATCGGATGAAGGTACTTGTAAAGACTATTTTGTTGATTTACGATTACACCGCGCTGTTTTATCTATTACCAATACAATATTATTATGTGTTATTTTGTACGAGTTTCGTTGTGTCTGGTATTTGATGGGTTCGCCCTTAGTGTCTAATAGCTAAACTAACAAAAGATGGATGCCTATAAGTAGGCGACCATGCATGTTTCGCATGTTGACGCTAGCCAGCTATTTATAACTGCTAAAACTAGAGTTATACTTTGTTGCCACCTCGTGGCAGTAACGCAATACAATAATAGGTAGCTAGTGTATCTAATCGAACACTATTTCTTTATACACAGTCGTAAGGTAATGTAATAAAATAATGCAACTGTTTTTGGTAGGTATAGTAAATGCATTTATATTTCATCAGCTAACAGGAGTTTAGAAAGATTTAACGTAGGTCTGAACTCCCAAGACGTTTAAAACCGCTAAAACATTAACGATAAACTTATAAAAACATAGTACGAAAGTCTCGTTTACTTCTCAAAGTAAATCTTGTAACGAAGTTGCAGACGGGACATAGCATAGTTATACAATGTACATGTTTTATTCGAACCTCGCACAAACATCAGAATAATATGTCATTAGTCATTGTCACCACACGACGTGATTTGACCTTTACTACTGACTCTAGCCAGTGCGGCACTGCTCAAGCGAATATTTATTTTTAAGTAGCGGTATGTACGTAGCTATAAAATATGCATTGCTATTTATTTGCGGACCTCGAGGTTAAGAGGTGACTAATATCACAAAAAATACAAGTTAATACTTTACTACATTATACATAGTAATGGAGTACACGGTACAACGGTTTCATGAAAGATTAAAGTGAAACTACAACGGAAAAGTGACACAATCTGGATCGACAAACTTGGGAACAACTTTTCTTATTCCTTGTTTGCATTTCATGTTATCGGATAGTGTCCCGCGGCGGGTTACGGGCGGGCAAGTTAAACTCAACGCGGTTACCTATCCGGCACAATTTCCCGCCGCATCCGTAACCACCGAGATATGGATGCCGCAAATCCAATATCAGATAATCTGGCTTTCAGCTGAATTTAAAATATGTATCACCAAATATACCAAGATTTCCATCGCTGGCTTATTTTAAAGAGCTTGTATTTTTAGAACAATCGGGGTAAATGTTTTGATAAGAGCTAGGATAAGTTGCGTCTGTGTTATCGTCATATTATTATTCATGTAGCCTTGAAGCAGAATGTATCGAAAACATCGATATACCTAATTTGTCGTGGAAGAAATAACAGAATTTTCCAACGCAGACGTACCTATTCGATTTTAGATTATAATGAGGTGCTTGTAAAATACACAAGGTCCGGCAATTCAGTACGCAGAGACGATTATGTTTGTAACAAAAAGTACAGACCAACGTCTACAATTAGGGCCTCGACGTGACCTCGCCTGAAGGGCAGTGGTAAAAAACTATCAGATTTCCATGTCCTTTATGTATTCGTATTGTGATTCAAACAACTACATTATAATACAAAGCAGTTCCTCCTACCAAAACGCGTACAATAAAGTTTCTACACAAATTCCTACCGTGTAAAGACTAAAGATCAGAGAAACCATCCGATTACCAACAAAGGAGTTTCTATTTACCCATTTTTTTTGCAACATGTCAAATATCGTATATCTTAAATACATGAAAGTTTTATAAAGAGTAAAAACCGGTGATCTGTAAAATTCTAGCGGTGATTGTGTAAGGCGATATCCTCAGTCCTCTCACTCGTAGACACATTCGGCAGAGAATTGCAACACTATGTCTGGGTGTAAGTCTGTACAGACATTTTATGATACTTCATACATATAATTGAACTGCCTATATAATATACCTAAATAATTTGATCCACTAAGGTCTTCCAGGAACTTGTTAATATTAGAGGGTGTAAAGGCCACGTATTCGCTCTTAGAGAGAATAACAGTGGTCCCATTAGAAACAAACGTGACCACGTTGAACGAAGACATTACGTGTCTACTCTTGGCTCATATATAAATTAAACCTTAAAACACCATATCCAGCAGATATGTTGAACAAATTAACATTTACAACTAACGACTATACTAAGCTTATAAAAAATTAGGGTAATAAGCGATCATTAGTAATCATTTGGTCCGATAAAAATTTGAACGTTTAAAGTTCTCAAAGCCAGCGAATGCTTATCCATCACTAGCATCTTGTAGACAGATTCGATACAGCTATTGCTCAAATGCCTGTCTAAATTTAGAATCTAGACTACCTAGATTATCATAGGAGAAAAGATGAACTTTGTGGCTGAAGCCTATGTAACCCTTTACACAGTTCCAGGAAACGAAGAAAATATTGTTTATAATGAAGATAGAATGACACACTTTGAAAAGTATGAAATTTAAAAATATTTAGTTGCGTGTAATGTAGACAGTAAACAGAAGGTAATTAATTGGTCAATTAAACTAGTGTTATCATCATAACCGGTTTGGCAAGTGACGCGTCCCGTAGTGTTAATTGGTTTATAAAATAACACTATAAATACACTCGCTAACCCCTTATGAATACGAAGGTAGTATAGTTCTAGGCGTAGAGGTGTTAATCTACGGAAGCCGAAGGTTTTTAAAACTTATCAGTGAATAATAAAGATAGGATAATTCGGTGAATTGCAAATGAACACTTCACGGGGCTGCTTATCTAATGAGACTCGCCGTGATCCCAGATATCCACGCCGCAGTCCATTAATATTTAATTAATTGTGCACATATTTTCACCTGGCTAGAGTTCCCACTTCATTAAAATAATTAAAGGAGCCCCTCGTTGATGTTAATTTTAATGGCGGCTGCTTGTCGAAGTAAGTAGAGAAGAATATTCAAGTTTATACCATAAGGTCATTAAAGTTTAGAGATATGGTTACGGAAATGCTCATCAGTAGCAGTGTGCACAGTGATATGATGGCGATGCAAGAGCAGCGACCAGTGTACCGGGTACTCACCCACGACGGTGATGCACCTCTCTTGCAGCGACAGCTCCTTAGCTTTTTGCGAGATCTGCACGTAGCTGCCACTCTGTTCCTTGATCTGCTTGATGTAGTTGCCGCCTTTGCCGATGATCATGCCAGCTGTTGAGTTAGGCACCAGGATCTTCACCTGGAATGAAGACGTGATCGTGGTAATGGAAATGTCAAGAGGCGAGTGAGGGCTGCACGTGACATGTTGTGAAGATTTGATGCTGAACGAATAGACCGCGCCCAACGATACAAGCGTAACTTTATGTATAGACACAAGGAGAGTGACAGAAACTTAAAGTGAATGTAAACAGTTGTGGTAGGTATTTAGTTTCCATCGCAATTACCTAGAAGCACTTCGCTGCTAATCTAAAGTTTTTCTCAGAGGAATCATTAAAATCATTAATCAAGGTACTTTCCCACGGCGGATTTAAACGAGCTAAAATAAAAGCAACGCTGCACGGGTTAGCGTTTAAATTCCATTTTACGTAGGCTTTAAAACTGAGCATACCAGCTTTTATGTTCTTAAATGGAGGGTACGGCAGAACAAAGGGTGAATAAAACCTAAATACACTGTAAACTTGATTTTATGTTAAATGGCATTTGCGTAAACAGACAATATTGCCGAGGAATTATAATTGTGAAGGATCCGCCGGCTGCCGGCCGCCCCGCGCCGTTACCACGGGAACAGACATTAGCATTGTTGAATATGATATTACGACATCCTCGATTGTTGTTTATGAATTATTTAACAGTTCTAAATGTCATGTTTGCTATAGATTGGCATCTGTTCTTTTTGTTCTACTTCATTAAGATTCTCTTCATGAAAGGTTAATTAAGTACTTACAAATGTTTTTTTTTATTTTCAAATTGGGTGGGTGGCGTTTTCGAATGATTGTCTCTCACACTACTCTGTAGGCAAATGAATACGGTGCCTCGTCTCACAAAACACCTATCTTTCGTCAGTATTTTACCCGTATCTAAATGCGATATATTAGTTAAAAAGAACGAATGATTTCGAGTTTATTCGTCATGTCACCGACTGGTGTGGCAGTCTTAAATTTAAGTACAGTTGAAAAATATTTGAAATAAATTGCTCGCCCTAACTAAATCGCGTGGGATTTGCTTCACAACAATTTGTGTTTGCGTCATAATCATTTAAAAGAATATTTACTTTATATGTATTGAGTGTGAATGGTAAATTCACAGAAATACAATAATTAATTACCACATACGAGTACGTTAGTAGTTAGAATAGTAACGTTTACAAAGACAAGGATCCCTGTGTAGTTGCCCTCTCCGTGTCAGCAGCAGTGGCTAATTAATTGCGAGTACTGCGACACGTCAACTACTACATTGTTATACAACACGGGGACAAAGCAAACCTAACACTCTTCAATTACACTATCTAAATTGTTTTAGTAATGAAATAATTTCGTGCCAATTATAATTTATATCAAAGTTTTAAAACCGAAAAAAGACAAGCGTTACGTAATATCCGAGTGTCCATTTTAGCGTAGTTGCTAGTAGGCAAGGGCAATTACTGTAGAATGAAGCTCCGGAGTGGGCACAGTTGATAACTATCGTAAGGTCCCTCCCACAGCGTGATGTAATGACCGCAGAGCAGTCCCGCAGCGCGGAGCCAAAAATCCGATAACTTTAACTACACTGCAGATGCAGGCACGCGCGAGTACTTGCAGAGGTCTCGAACGAGGCTCAACGAGGGTCCCAGTATCGCTGCATACCTTTCTCGACACACGATATTGATCTATGACCCTGCACGTCACCGCACGTGGTCGGTCACACTCGACAGTCGCTCAGCCGATATCGAGCACTGTTCCGCCAACGCTAATCAGCCGAGAAGATAAAAGTTTAGAAATAAACGTTATTGCTACCATTACATAAGCCGCGGAGTAAACGGTCACAGTTATGGTCCTACGTGTTGGTTTACTTGCGAGGAAGTTACTTCATTGGAACGTAACTACTTCTTGGAACATGTGTTGGTAATCAACGATAGCTGATAAAATAGCAAATATAAATTTATCTACAACTAGAGACCCAAAACAAAGGTCTGATTAAAGAAAAATACTCGTTTGGAATGTAGGTTTAAATGTCTTAGACGCGTAAATATGCGACTGCATAACAACTTGCGTTAATGCTCGAGATCATAGCGTCAAGAGCTGACACTACATTAGATTCAGAGCATGACACAGCCGAGTTTATCGCGGCACGCTAATGAATTACGTACGCCGATAGCACCAGAACGTGATTAGAGTTCGACCTTGCAACGTCCACTCAGCTTGCCGCTTCATATGGGTATGTGCATTTGATGTAAACACGTCTTCTGACTTATTTCCAGGAAGTTATATCAGTTCAAAATATGCCTCGATTACTTTCATTCGAGTGAAATAAAGCACTGAACATTTCAATTAATGACGGCAAGGCACGATAAATCATTGTTCGATAGGATCGCTGCTGCAGTGCGGTACGTAGGTCCAGTCCATTTGTACTTGTCCTTTACATGTCCCTGGTGTTTTTATTTCTCTCCGCAAGTGGAACGGAAGCTCATGCATAGTATAAATATGTATTCTGTGGTTTCACGACCACAAACAGCTGACTTCATAATTCAAACTTAATTTTGTGACGTGCCTTCCTGTTGTGGACAAGTGAGAACACATTACCATTTTGCTGAAGATTACTATTAATTTTGTTGCTGTTTATTGTTTTGGCAAATATGATGGCGATGTGTAAAATCAGTTGTTTCAAACTTCATTGACGTAATTATGTTTTGGCATTTATTGTTGCCATATCTCTTTACGCCCACAATGTATCGACAAGCGTTTTAGTTACGCTAATATGTTATAACCAATATCTATGTACCATATGTAGATAAGTATTAGGTACTAACCTATAAGTATAAAGCAGATAATGTAGATGGAAACGAAGCGCTCTTTTACATTATAATTAAATACATAGCCAAAAGAAGGGAGAGCTTGTCGAAGAATTAATTTAGGAAATTATTCATTTTGTTCCCTTCAAAAGACTTGATTACTTAATATTCTCAAATAAATATTTTAGGAGCTTTCTCTGTAAATAAAGAAATTATCCATCCCACGCACATTCAACACTGAAGATGTTTTACATAATATTTAAATGTAGAAAAACTGACCTTAAAAGTCTTTCATTTCATTTCACGACATTAATAAAGTAGCACGAAATTTGTCGATCGACAGAAAATATAAAAATCTAATAAGTATACTTAATGTACTAATCATAGGTCACAGTGATGGGTGCCGAGCCCCACTCCAACAGTTGGGCTACCACGCGATGTTCCCAACAGCCCCTGACCTCCACACGCCCTCCGTCACCAACTTCGCAGGTATTTCAAAGATAACACTGAATAATAGAATAAGTTCGTGTTAAAAGTTCCGTTCTTAAAGGTCACAGGTTCAAACAATCGCCATCTTTGACAGTTTCGTGTTTAACTTTTCATCGAAATATCTCATTTTCTGAGGAACGATATTTTTTTATTATATCTACATTAAGTAAAACGGTAATGTGGTGTGGAGGTGGCAAGGAAAAATCCTTGAAATAGGTTAGATAAAGAAACATAATTTTTTGTTTCAGTCGCAATAAGGTGTCGATAAAGACGTACCTATCAAATTGTGAAAAAATCGCCTTCGTCTAAATGCGGAGATGAAGGAGTTGAAAGGCCGATAATGTTTACTTTACGGATAGCAACCGATATTTGAGAGCAAGGTGAGATCCACATATGAATTATGTTCCTACAGGTGCCGATGGACAACGTAATAATAGACAAAATGTTCACTCGAGGGAATATTCTCGGGTGAGTCGCAACAATTACTAGCGCAGACAAAAGCTTTAGAGCTCCGAGTGTAGCCCATGTTCAATTGTAGGGCATCTCCGTCACCAGACAATTTGAGCGTCGGACGCAGCCGCCGACCTGTCTGTACACGTGACCATTCAAATTCATTACCATGGAAATTGTCGCTTTAGATATTCATTTCACGATGAAAGCTTTCAAGTACAATATTTTCCTTTTTTGTGTTAATATAAAACGGACTAAAAAATGAGTTCCATTACATCAGAATGTTCAGCAGTTTCAAGAAAGATATCATCAAATTCTTCCGAAGGTGACCAGCGAGAGTGGCTCACCTTAATAAATAAAAATACATTTGTCTATGAATACAAAGTTGCCCTTAACAGCGGTCGGTCATTTGCATGTAAATTGTCTGATATGGAGGCCTAACGGTTTCTGCTTACAATCACAATTTGATTTTCATTTGGCTGACCTGCTGTGAACACAGGATAATGTTTTCTCATCAAATTACTGCGCGTCATCACTTTCCGTTCGCTCCGTCATCGGCAATCGCTAAATGGAACAGAAACAGCAATAGTTATGTGTTCCCCGATTATAACTATACGAAGCGATGCAGTGAACCAGTTTCTAGGGAAAGGAAGTGTCTTTTTCCTTATAAAGTGATGATATAGTATCATCTCCGTCCCTCAATATCCATCTCCGCTGCTATTTTCCACTGATACCGATACAAGTCAACGAAATTATTAAGTACCTATATTGGAATGAGCTCGTACCCGAAAGGCTTCTTCCCTTTCGTTATAACCTCATCAATGTTACCCTTCCATAACGTAAACCGATACTTTCCTTCTTTCCCTGCAACGTGTCTCTTAACAATTCCATTACAAATCGAAATGTCAAAGATGTTTAGCTGCAGGAAATTGTGGTCGACAAGGTGATGATCAAATAACAATTGTTTTTACTTTTGTATCCATTTAAAAGTACGCGTTGTTTTATTTTGCTCATTTTGTTTTTTGTATGGGGGAGGCCTTTGTCCAGCAGTGGACGTTTTCCGGCTGATTATGATGTTGACTGCTGTATTTACTAAACCAGCTTAACCTCTAATGTGAAAAGGTCAAAATATCCATATCCTATAAAAATAAATGGAACAAAATGTTCTATTGTTTGTATTATGAAGTCTAGGATCTTGGCCTGCCTGCCTGTCTCCGATTCACAGCTCGGCGAGAATGAGATACCGGGTCGCGCGCCGATCAGACCGCCACTACCGACGCCGGTAATGCGGTCACGACACTTCACCCATTCAGCATTACTTCCGAACTAGCCATCAGTAGTTAACAACAATTGCATTATAGCTATACCGTCAGTGAACATCATGCTGGTACATCGACAGATAAAGTGAGCTGAACTCATTTAATGCCGAATCAAACCTGTCCCTCTAAAACAAAATATTATCTACATACAAATTAAATCAAATCAATCACAGTCCATGTGTAGGTTGTGATAATCTGATAACACGTACAATTACATACTCTAGATATCTACTTTTTGTATGAAATACGAACGGTATCAAATATACTCACGCAAGAAATAATATTTTACGTGACTGTAGCACATGAGGGAAATACATAGGTATTGTATTCTGTAGAAACATTAACGTTAATGCTTTCTGTATATCTGTGAGTGAAGGTTCGCATTTAGCATAAAACAATTAAGAGAAAACAATGTCGACGGTCCAATTATGATTTATTGATCAGTCGATCAGCACGCGGGGCACGTGTTGCGACTTGCGAGCTCCCGAACACGTGGCTCGCCCTCGCCACGCCGCTAATTTAATATGCCAGCGTTGATACCGTTTAAAATCGTTCACGCCATCGCGGGGAACAACGTGAACGAAATTTATTTAATGCTTAATAGCCGTATATTAATCGATATCGTGTTCCTGATATGTTACTTTTACATAGCTATATAAATTATAATGATCATCGAATGTTAATATATAAGTTGGAAAAACTTTTTTCTCTTTGGTAATATATGTATATCCAATACAATTTTATGTTAAAATTGAACACAGTACTATAATAATTAATTAAAGAGGCGCTGAAAAGGTTCCTCTTAACTAATAGTTACGTTAATTACTTAAATTTAAAGCCTGGTTTGCCGACAGACGGGACGGCCGGCCGCTCGTGGCCTGTAAGTTGAGCGCCATCGGCTTAAAATGTTCCGTGGGACTTTGCCTGTAATAATTTTACTAAAGCAAAATTTGTTTAACTGAAATAATGTTTCCCTAACAACTTTTTGTACACTAACTACGTTAAAATAAGTAAAATTTCAGTTATCTTGTTATCAATAGCAAAATATGGAACATAACGACTTTTTAATTAGTGGCTTGGATCTACTACCCTGACATACATAGAGTTCCACTTTACACACAACAAAATAATGCGGAGAGGCTGAACAAATAACAATATGTAAATATAATAGTTTTGGCACAGCTCGCAGGCAACGATCAGCTCGTACCCTGAAACTGGTGTACATAAGTGCATAATTGTGACATTTGTGTTGTATTGTTCAGCCGCGCATTTTACGATTCGGGTCTCTGAAATACAATGTTTATGACCCTTTACTTTGTACGTAAAATTTTGTGCAATAGACACCGCACACAAAATTGGATCGTTAAAATGCGTGACACATAAGACTTTGAAACAAAATTAACCTCAATCTGATACAATTTGTATGGCTTCCAGAATCCCGTAGAGTTGACGAACATTTATTCATAAAAAATATCTTGATCTTTTTACCAAGCGATTCATTTTTCTGCGACGAAGTGCCGTCAGCGTGTTCCTCTGACAACGGGACGACAGATTAGACGAGCTGAACATAACACTTATTTAGGGTTCCATTTAGATGGCAGCCATTTGTCTTGGTTTCGTACCGCCGCCGCCCTCTGGCGTTGCTTACAATTTATGCGCCACTCCCGTTCCCGTATGCGGACGCCATGACAGGCGTAATGCGATGATTGAACACCGACGATACCCCCTTTTTTGCTTATTTGCCAAGACAGTATCGAACATATTTCCGAACCCGGCAAAGTCGATAAACAAGATAGGCATTGCTTCACTTGTTAAAAAGGCCCATATCTACACATTACAATACCCCCAAATGCTTTTTATTGTTGTAATAAGTTTCACAAAGTACCACCAAGCGCCATACCATATTTTAAAATTTGTTTTAATAAATCTACAAAAAAGGCTACTCGATTCATAGAGTCCAAACAAAGGCGCGATGGCTTTGTCGACTTTCACTACCATTTAAAGCATTTCCATATGTATTGCTGCCTAATAGGTACTTTGTTCCAATAAGCGAGTTAGTTAACAGAATAGCTTCGCGTCGTAACCTGTCAATTTAACATGTCTAGCATAGAATATGCACGTACCTGCTTGTCTCTATCCTGGGGCATCTTGGTGTCGACACCCTCTGGGAATGGCTTGACGAGCTCAGGCTTCTCCTTGATTTTATCCATGATAAAGTCCAGGACGACCATAATGCCGTCGACAGAGCCGGTGATCAGGCATGCTCGTTCCGTAGTTCCTGCAGACAAGAGACAAAGATGACGCAAGTTTTACTATTACATTTTTTTTTAAATTACTGTATCAGAATGGTCGATCTGTGTATTATTGATATACACCCCACAAAAGCCCTCCAATCAAAATTATATTGTTCTCGTAAATGGTTCTGCGGACAGGGATAAAACCACCGGATATTTTCTGGCCCTTCCGACCGCAAAAGGACCGAATGGGAAGATAAGCGTTAATAAGTGCCTCGCTTTAATAGGGTGACTAAATTTTTACTTTATTCCTTGAATCATAGGGTATACATCTTTTGAAGTCGTTAGTGTGCCGTGTTATTATCGAAACAATATACTGGAAAAATGATATCACATTCAATATATTTCGAAATTATAAAATCCTGCATTACTCGTTGGTATGTGAAGATCGTAGTAGGCGGTAGGTATCGCTCTGGAGTTAATCTAACCCTATGGGATAAAGGCGAGGTTCTATATATGTTTTATAATTTCCGGTTAAAAGATGATGACCCGGGAAAACAAAAATGCATAAACCAGAACATGTCTAAAGCATTATTTCTCAGACGTTTACGAAATTGCGCTTTCCAGAAATAGATTACTTACTTCAAATTTATTAATAGTCCCAAAAATTAGGGATAACCATCACTCGCCGGTATCTGGCAGAATATCGAGATTATGGCGTCTGGAGCTATGAGTTATGCAAGCCCATTAAACCGGCACACTTCATTTGCAAACAGGAATCGGGATTCCAAATTAATTGATGTTTATGTAATTAAATTTTCTGAACAAGCATATTAACTTTCTTCATATAACTTTTATTTTCTTTCAATTAATTAATGATTTACTTTTATTTATAAGCTACTAGATTTTACAGTCTCACAAAATAACAATCATTTTTGACGCAGCAGTGCTATCCCCGCCTTTTCTTTGTTCCTAAGTTGAAACAGGGCGCGCCTCAGACCCAAGTAACCTATTTTCCATTGAGTATTTTTCTGGGACCGTAACGAGAAAATGTGACATGATGGTAATCATTACCAATTGCCGCAGGGCGGCCCAAATAGCACAGTTACACATTCAAATTAGCAAAATATCACGGAGGTTCAGCGTAATCAAGGTTTAGAGGTCGGCTATCAGCGCTGGAGGGTTATGGAGAACGGCACCCGGTGTTTCAGCATTATTGATCGTTCGGCCGGGCGGGCCAGCTTTGTTGCCCAAATGAATAGGCCACCGTCACGCGTTATTTGTGCCAAAGTTTTATTGTGATTTTATCTAGATTTTATTTTGCTAACTTCGGTACAAGATTAATGCTGTTTCTGACTATGAACTTTCCCTCTCAATTTATTATACGTGTAATAAAGGCTTTTGATTTTAATACTTTCCCTTTCTATTATTCTTTATCTGGCCCTTCGCGGGCGTCCTGAATAACTGCCAGTGCCACGCGCCGAAATGTTATCTGGCTTTAGTAGAGCACTTTTAATTTCCGTTAGATAAGTCTTGTTTTTGTTTTCCTAACAAAGGCGAAAATATTGAAGATGTGCGTTTTGTTTGTGTGGTCGTGACTGGTGACTAATGAATCGTATCAGGTATATTGCAATAGTGGTAACATTACAGTTACTGGTTTCTCAATAATTCTAGGTGATGAGCTAATTTGTTCCTCCTGCGGTGATGCAACGCTTACGTTACACCTGCCGGCCGCCGAGCGCCCCGTGTTTCTATTACTTCGATCCGTTTGGAATATCAACTATAATATCAACTACGACGCCGTTCCTTGTTTCACTTTAATTTGACTAATTTTGTATAATTTGCTTTGAACAAATACTTCATATTACGTAACATTTTGTTGCAGCATTAAAAAATACTTAGAGATGCTGAAATATTATTAGATAGTGTTGGTATTCTATAAAGAACAACACTTGACATTTACACAGACCAGCTCGGATATTATTACCAAACGCTAGAATTGGTTAATTACTTCGATAACTAGTGGTTGCTATACCTATGTATGTACATTCTGTTATCGCCAAATTAACATTTATATTTTCCTGTTTCTAATGCCTTGGCTATACAACTAGCCGTAAAGTTCTCGCCTGGAACGCGTTTAGGAGTATTTTGTGTTTCCTTATAGATAACTTACTATTGATATGTTAAATAGAAAACCTGGACTTTCTTGTATTGATCGTCACTTCTGTTCATTGTACTGCTGTATAATGATCCTTCATAAATCACCTCCTTGAGCTTTGGACTTAAGCCATGGCGACTATTTATGTATTACGTAGTTAGTTGATTGTCTTAAATTGTCTTAATAAATTTATTAATAAACAGCTAATTTTTAAATACGTTGTAAGAATTTTATTGTAAAGGTTAAAAACTTTTTCAATTACATAATAGTATACGTTGTGTTCGTTGTCTTTGCTTTAACTCGTAATAAAAAATATTTTACCAACTTAAACAATGCCACGTTAACAAATCGTGGACATTTCAAATCGATGCAAATGCAATGTTATTGAGTGACTTCGTGAAGTAGTTAATATTATAATAATAATAACTAAGTACTTGAAGTTGTTTCAAGGTCGTCGCTGTAAACAAGTTTTTGTTCTCAACACTTCTAAGATACACATACACAGCTAGGTACTAATTAACAAATCTTATGCACCTAGCGAAACTAGACGCATAATTAGATACCATCTATTTAATGAGTTAGATATGAAAACGTTTGTCGAGACATGTTTGGCGCAGCCGTGGACACAAACTGCGGGAAATTATGCAACGAACAGACAGTATCATACCACAACCGGTCTTATTGAGTAACTCCCTTGACCTTGGCAGCACTGCTAGCTAATGCACACTATTCTAAATCTTAACCAATAAAATTTAGAGCTTATTTTTGTTTATGACATGTCATTATCATTTGGTATTAGTCCAATGCTATGATAATTGAGAGCAGTGGGCCAAAAAACTGTACCTAATTAGAAATAAGGTTGGTCGTGCGTTGGCACAAATATTAAAAGTATTGAAATGTGTCCGCTTTTGGCACAAACATTTGTTAGGAGTAGCTCTAGCAAATTGTAATAACCAGTGATTGCAGCGAGGCATGCGCGCGCTAGGCGTCGTCACAATCGGTCGGGTTGCCGTGGGCCGCGGCACGGTCAGCGCAAGGCTGCCTTCATAAAGAAAGATTATCACTATTATCCAATTATACTCGGTACTGAGTTATTGTAGTACTTCGCGCGAAGATATTCCGCTTGTTTACACACTCCGTTATGAAACACTCGAATATCAAGAGCTTTGCCTAGCCACAAATCATTAGTTACACTCACAATATGTAGGCCAACTATTCAGAACATACTTACCGTGAACAATGTCAAACGTCGTTTGAACTGGTATTTCATGGAGGAATTTTAATTTTTGTATATTTCATTTAATTTTATTTTAGGCGGAACAACTATTTATGTTAATACATTTTGTTTCACGTTTCAAACTCGTTTGATAGGTTATACACTTTATTTCACTTTGTTCCCAAGTATGCTAATAGATGGCAGCATAAGGCTATTAGCTATTCGTTACTATTTCTATTTCATTAGAATAAAGACATGTTTGAATGGTGGAAAATACAATATTGTTTAGATTAGAAAGATTCCATCTGGTTCACAAAGACAATATGTTCAAGGACATAAAAACAAATACTAAAGTATTTAATGTGTCAATAAAATACGTCGATCTGTGAACAACTAAAATCCTTTCATTTTCATCTAGAGATACGTGTGTTCTGACTTCTGACGTTGTGATGTTCATTTGGTGCAACTGCAACCGCCGCGACCAGAACAATGGCTCTCTACAGTCGTGAACAAAAGTAATCTACACGTAGACTTCATGTCAAGATGAATGTTTTCTTATTTTTAGGTCAAGGCCTTGAGAACTATGCCAGCAGCCAACTTGCAGTTCTATATTCAAATATACGTTCGACGTACGAATGACATGTCCGTTGACGAATGATGAGAGAACTACGCAGGCGCGTGCTTCAACATTTTCGTTTTTCTCATTTGAATGTGGTCGGTCAAGGCGAGTCGGTAAATAGAGACAAATTTAAATATTTCTATCATTAAAATAGATAATGTCAGAGAGCATTTTATTGTCTTCGCTTATAATTAAAATAATAAAATGGAGGAGTGTGAATAAAATATAATTGAGCGAAGTGAGACATGTTTACGACACTTCGTAAAGTCATTATTAAAACTAAAACTCATAATTTACTGTCAACGGCTACGAGTACGCGGTGATTTTAATAAAAATATTCGCTGTACTCACCGGATAATGAAAAACTAATATCACGATTCTTTCAAGATTAGCTAGGTACAAAGCTTTAATCATATTTTACGGCTAACGGATTAAGTGCATTATATTTAATTAAGCAATACTTAAGTTAAAATTTCATAACACTATAAGGTGTCATAAGGGTTCAATGTATATTTTACATAAACTTAAACACCTATTCATATAATTCTTAGTCAGTAGTTGGACAGTTGGTCTGAACCATCATGATAAATATACCACAAACGTAATAAAATCGTTTGTGTAGACAATGCATCGAGTTTTTACGACGACCACAAACAATGAGTCCACGATGCAACATTAATTTGCAATTAACCTTTATTGTTGCAACTAGTTCTGATGTCATTACAAACGAATGATGGAAATCTACGCTAGCATTTACTTGAGCTCGCCTAGTACTTGAGCACTGTGACTCTAGAATAGTACAATTTTATCATCATCATTAGCTGAAAACGTCTACTGGTGAACAAGTTCTTCCTCTAACGGAGGGTTTCCATTATAACTGCGATTAGCAGGTCTCATGGAAACTCTGATCCTATAGCTAAGTTACTGAAAATTAATTGATACTACTGTCCATTTTACATTTTTGGAACACTTGTCGGTGATAAAGTAATAAGTACCATTATTCGTGTAAAAGTGGGCGTGTATTTTATCGGATCTCGATGTCAGTCACAGTTTAATGCAGACACAAAAATGTTAGTAACTCTATCACCACTGCATTGCAGCACTGCGCGGTGTACTGTTTATTGATAGTAGTTATAAGTTTTTTTTTTATATTTCGGTAAACGAGCAGACAGATTACCTGATGGTAAGCAATCAGCGCTGCCCATGGACACCCGCATCAACAGAGGAGTTATGAGTGCGTTGCCGACCTTTTGGGGATTAGAGATTGGGGAGGGGAAGGATTGGGCCTCCAGCAACCTTACACACACGGCGATACACAATGCTGTGGTTGTTTCACGCCGGTTTTATGTTAGGCCGTGATCGAATAAGCAAATAAATTATTCTCTACTACTTCGGTATTGCGTAGAGAACATGCCACATCATTAACGATATCAGCGAAAGATCCATAAACGTTTAAGATAACATCTACTTAATAGAAAACATTTTTAATTGGGTAAACATTGGTACACAACCTTTAAACATTTGTCTTCGTCCGAATTAATAGTTTCTTTCGCCATTTGCAAATGACGAAACAAAGATGCGTAACTCTTGGACATTTTCAAACGTTTCCTATACCAGTCAGCAGGTATGTATGTATAGAGTTTTATTTTAGCTGTGGTGACATCAGTGTGGTGTGATTATGTCTCTCCTTGACTCTCGATTGGAAGATTGCAGTATTTAGAATGGACCTCGCATATTAGATATCTTTTTATATTACGGAAACAGGTTTCTGTAATAGCTTTGTTAGCGCCATCGTGTTGGGGGAGACAAGTTTTATCCTAGTTTATTGTTTACACAAATTCTAGAATATCTATTTTTAATGTGGAAGAGTCTTCTTTATGCAAGTTGCCTTTAGTTATTATTTTAAATGTTCAACTTTAAAATTGTGTTCAAAGGAAAGGTAACATAACAGGATGAACAAAGTAAAATCACCTGAATTCTAAGAATGAGTGCAGCGAAGTGCAGTCATCGCGACTCCTTGGACATTTGTATTGTAAACCTTTTCCTCAATCAAAGCTGCGATGGATGCGCGAGATAAACTGCACGTGCATTATGCTATCAGCGTTGCAAACATTACATTATATAGTCTTATTAAATTTAACATCACGTAATATAGTACCTTTGTCTTATTATTCTTTCAAAATGAGACAGCTTGCGTTTGTATGCGCAACTTGGTTCTGGACTCGCGTTGACTAATTGTATTAGTATTATCATAAGCATAAGATTTTATTTTACCAGGTTTGTGGAATCGGGGCTCATACAGGTCATCAAAGGTATAGTCCATTAAAAATTAAATCAGATGTAGTCGTTTCGACGGACGTTCACGTGTACCTGTCCACAACAAGCCTACTTATGGAAATTAGTTAACGAATCTGTGACACATTTCAGTGATTTATACTCGTCTTAATATTTAAACCTCAGAGTTCCAAACGTTTTCATGTTATGCGAAGCTTCATTAAGTAATTCCGTGCCGCCGATATATTTTAATGATGACGTAACGACATGACTCGTGTATTCGAATCAAATGTAGCGTGAGCAGTGCCTTGATTACTCCGACTACACTTATATAATGCTTAGCAAGAACTTCTGTCAAAGTCACAAACACATTCAGTAATTAGGTTAAGGTAACGTCAAAACGACAAGTCGTTTTTCAAGTTAGACCAGCAGAGACGGAACTGAAGACTTCAAACGTATTTTTTGCTGTGTTATGTCATGTAATGTATGTTATGAATTGTGAACTTTACACATATCCAAATAAGAACGAGATTCACACATCAATCCAACAGTGAAAGTAAATATAAAGACGTAGAAAATAGTTACACAAAACAATGAAGATTAGTTTTTATATTTAACGCTTAGAAGTTAGCGAGAACACAATTCAAGGTCCATAGACTACTCGTGACAACTGTGACGCAACCCAATCGATATGCGAATACATTTCGATTAAATTACACAAAAACCTCTACCACTTTACAATCTGCGCAATTAATTATTACAGCCAACGTAACGCACAAACCGTTCAATACTTTATTCTGTACGTCATAAGGTTGGAAAACGTGTGATTATGCGTTGCGATTGCGAGTAAAAATAAAGATTTTTTTTATAAATGTCAAAACTTTTGCTAACATTTACATATTTGATCAATTGTTTAGTACAAGGCGATTTGACTCGAGAAATTTTGGAATGATGTACCTACTTCTGTACATAGAGTTGAAGAGAACCAGAAGTTATGTAAGTACTAACAGCCCATTATATGTTAATGGTGACATAGAGGGACAATCAAGCACCTAATTATTGTATAATGAGTGTAGTGGCGATGAATACGACGATAATATTACAGCGCATGTAAATAACTAATAAGAATAAAAGTATTGGGCATGTCGATGTGGTTATTGATTAAAACAAAGACGATTTTTTAGCAAATTCGGTTTTTTACCTAACCTAATCTTTACTATATTACAGAAATCAACTAACGCCCCCTTTAAAGCAATGCTGATTTCCCTTTCAGTGTTATATGTGCGCCTGGGCAGCTATTAGTCAGACAGTCGCCGGTCGTAACGGCAGTAACTGTAGCGTCACTGTTAACTAGCCGCAAGGCCAACTGGGGATTATGTGCGAGACAACTATTAACTCTGACAACAAAACAAGACATTTCCACAATTGGATCCACACTTGCAGTGTTTTGAGCAAAAATACTAATTACTTTGATGTGGGTGCCGGATTATTCCCGTGGGATATCTTGTTATCACTAGCCAGACGAAAAGCTTTATGTTACATCAAGTTGGTGTCTGTCAGTCTGTCTTAAAGTGGACTTGTGACAACGGTCACTGAAACGTCCCTTTGTATTGTTTCGTTGTGGCCGTCAAGTACCTCTCGAGTGGACACTAAGAATAATTTATCCCAGTGATTGACACTAAACTCTCTCTATTTACTGTTCCTTTGCCGTGAACCACTACATTAAAGCATTTTGTTAAATAAAAACAGTCCGAGAATGACGTGATAAGGGTAGCAAACGAAATGTCAGCAACAACTAGCCGAAGCCGCGGAGTAGCCGGACCAGAATTGTTTCAAACATTTCAGCTTTGACCCCGACACTGATGAATTTTATTTTAATCTTAGTTTCACCCACACAAATGTTATGTACACAAAAATATTTCTCTTTGTACATACTCTCACAAATGTTCTGAAAGCCAACAAAGAACCAGCAAGTGGAGTGTAGGAATTTTATAGAATAAAAAGCTACTCCATTTTCCATTTTGCAAAGTTATTTTGAACGTGTACACAAATTGAGATAGAAAGGAATTTCATGCAATACTTTTCTACTGCGACCATGACTTCAGCAACTGAGAATACCTACATAGTAATACTACATACATATGTGTAAATTCACCATTACTAGACACGATAACAAGACTTACAAGAGAACATTCCTATAGCAATGTGTACGAGCGAGAAACTTCATGGCTACTCTTTTTCCATCAGTTTCATAATCAAATTCTTTGATGCGTCATAAGTCGGTTTCATTATGTGAGAACGGTGTACCGTATATATACTAAAATCTTTAAAGAACCAGAAAAGACAATAACTTCAAGGACAATATATTTAGACAGTTTGGAGCTGTGAGCTAGCCAGCTCACAGTTCCAATTGATGGCGCCCGTTCACGAACATGACACGTACACCAGTTGACCACTATGCAATTTTATACTTATGTATAGTGCTAATTCTACGGGATAATTGGCGTTGCGTCAATTTACAACTAAATGATTATTGGTGAAGTGAATAATGGATAACTTGACATATAAATCCTCCATCGTCCATGTCTCTTAATGACTAAGAATCGACATGAACTTTGGCCTAACCACTGCTAATGAAGATGCCTTTAATGCTGTAAACCTCAGTCACACAAGGTGACGCACTCGTTACTCTAAGCTAGAAACTAAAAAACATTTATTTAAACATATCGTTATGGCAGGGCTGTCGTACTCTAAACTATCGGTCTATTGCGAATTCCGACTAACCGAGTATTTACCGAAGATTCGGAATTGAAAAGACAACAACACTGAGATAACCTAAACACTAATAAAGGGGTTCCTCAGAAAATGTTTACAATTTCTTTAATTTGATCTCTAATAAGAAGCAATAGAACTCCAGATACTTTGCTACACTTTTCTAAAATAATAATTTAACTTGGTAAAGAAGAAAGCTAGTTCATATAACTAGGTATGCATCATATATCACTGGCATGTACCGTGTTCGGTATAAATAAAGCTAGACATGGAACGAGCGGCACACACGCCACATACCGCGGCATGCACCCACACTAACCCGTGCAGTTTTCCAACCTCAGCGAATTTATACATATACACGAGCTTTTAGCGTCGGTCAAGGTCAGGCCACTTCAATTATGAATAATTCTTTAATTAATAACTTGAAAAACTAGGTGTGTCAACTATTAAACGTCTGATTACAAGTTCGTGTCCTGTTTGGTTAATTTGTAATAGAATAAAATGGGTTAAGCAAACTGCGAATTTTAAGTGAATCAGATTTGTTTGACTTGCTTACCGTCTTAATGGTTGAGTAATAGTCATAACTACATAAACGTATATCTCACATGAGCCAGACTAGGTTAATCCCGTGTCGTGAATCGTTTGTGCAATTACGAGCACAGAGCACGTTCACAAACATGCACATCTGTGGATCATAAAAAAATCTGATACGGGAATAAATTCACGACACAGTACAGACATTTCAGCATTGCGCCATTTTGGGCGAAAGTACGACGATAAAGCGAAGAAATATAGCATTTATGTAGTAATTTATCAAACGATGTTATATTTTAATGTTTGTTTTAGCTAGTACTCCAAAGATTTTACACCTAACAATTTGATGTATCAAGACGCTAAGTCTAAGCTTTGTCAAATACTTTGGACGCAAGTAAAGAATGGGAACATATTGGGTTGTTTAGTAGATGGGTAGGTAATGTATTGGCTAGTCGGACGCGCAGCATTAGCGCGGCGCTAACTAACGGGGACACCGTCTCGACATTGACATAATTCACAACATCAAAGTAAACAGGGGGACATCAATCCTTGCGTACACTTTACGAGCGCCGTGTGTGCTTGCACACTTCCACCGGGCCAGTGGAAGACAAAGAGTCAATATTGGCATTTTGGTTACCTATTTCTTTTTAAGAATGTCTGTCTGTTTTTCAATATTGTTTTAATTAAGCTGAAAGATTTTAATATTCTTTCAACAATAGCGACGTTTATTACATTAAGAGATATTTCTATTGAAAACAGTAATCTGGTAAGAATAGAATCCTATACTGAAGTCACCAAAAATGCTAAGCCATTAAAAACACCGCAGCATCCGCCCATAGATGTTCAAGAGTTTATTTCCAGCCGAGCCAATCAGCAAATGAGTGGAGTTAACTAGTTAACCTACATTTTTGACAAAACTACATCAACCAATTTGGCACAGGACACGGTCAGGATAATTAATGTCATTCATTGCGCGTGCGCCGGTCGTTGCTATTTTTTGCTTGACTATTTTGATTATAGTATCGTTTGTGCAAGTATAAATAGTATACCAGCGGCTATTCTATTATAATAATAATACAGCGACATGCTCGCTCGTTATCTTTACAATTTATGGAATTAGGAATCAAAGGTGATGGAATGACAGAATGATAAAATATCGGGTGATAATGTACTGTCTCGACGAGTACTTTATTTTTAAAGACATTTATTACAAATATAAATTATAGTATTTGATCCCTTTACATATAACAGTGCACACAACTAGTCATACCGGCGCCAGTTACGTTTAAAACTCTCTATACAATAAAATGTGCGAAAAGTAAATGTTATGTACATACATTTTGTTCTAGTTGTATTGTTTAAAGTAAAAATAAATAACGTTAAGTAAATTGTACGATAAATAATAATGAATGCGACACAATAGGTCGGATATAGTGGCTGAGTGACGTAAGGTGACGTCGTATAATGTAGCCACGCATCACGCATTGCCCGCAGACCCCCATGTTATGCCCGCTACACTTTATGCAATATTTTCCTATCTAAGTAAAACCTTCCCACGCAAACCTTATTGTAACTATGATTACTTAATCACTTCAAAGGTTAATTTTAATAAAATACAAAATTAAATCGCTACAGATAAAAAAAATATCCTGATTTTTGCGGGGTCATTGCTTTACCTCGTAATAACACTAAGTAATTTAAATAATCCACAGTAATTCTGCCTATGAGAATAGTGAACACTATAACATGTGTGTCCAATCAGAACTACTTGACAATACGCATAGTTGCGAGGCACCGGCTCGGAAATCGAACCTGACACTGTGACCTACATTCTAATGAAGCGTACTGCGTCGCATTGTGCTTTATTATTCCTATGTTAGGCATTATATAACTCAATGTGCCGTTCTTGTTTATCATTCGACCATATTCCGATTCTAATGATCCAGCTTGTAGTTCTCAAAATGCATTGAAACATAGCATAGTTGTCTTAAATTTTGCTTTATCAGCTATGCTGCAGGTTACCCACGATTATTTAGTATGTTTGTTTCTAGTAGAACATTGTATAACTCTTACAAATCATTATTGTGTAAACCTGATCACACGTCGGAAGACCTTGACACACCTAAGCTGTTCGAGTCAAAATCTCGCGTGATGTAAGCCGAATGGGCCTCAAGATGTTATCGAGCTTAAGTTAACCTTATTGCCGGCGTTTCAAACTAGTTGTGGGAATAATTGCACTATTAAGTACTACCGATTGTAGATAAAGGATGACCGTATATGGGTATGTATGAGAAAGTTACTGGATCTTGTGTCCGTATAAGTACGCAACGGTTTATTGGTGTTTGAAGTTTAAGTTTAGTAATAATAACAAAATAATGAGTAATAAAACATCACTTACCAGGATAGAAGTCGTGGGATTTGGACATCTTGACCCTGGCGCCAGTGTCCTTCTGCAGCTGGGCGATGGTCTCGCCACCTTTCCCGATGATGGCGCCGGCCACCATGGACGGCACCAGCACCTTGAAGTGGTATGTCGGCTCCACGGCTGCAGAGCATAAGTTGCATGGTGAGAAGAGCTCACACAAACACTACATTCTGAGCACTGTGTTCCGATACAAGCAATCAATAAAAGCCAATAGAACGGTTCTGCGAAGTTATTATCGATACAGAAAAGTAATTACAGAAAAATCGTAATGGTTTCTATTATAGTAAACAAGAACGGAAGCGAACAAATATTTGCGTGACGTTATGAGATATTGAGGAATATAATTGCTTTTGTATTGACTGCTAGCTACAATAATACATACTTCTTTTATGTGTAGACATAAGCTCTGCAATCTCAATTTGCCAATTAATCAATACAGCTATGTATTTCACGAGCCCTTTGAAGATTATCCCAAAAACAGATTATATAAATTGGTTTCAGATACATTCTGGATGCTACTCCCCGCACCCGATACAAATTAACTTGGATCTCACAAGTAATTAAAGAATATAGAACCGAGGATAAATTCGAAAAGGGTTGTTCTAATTGATTAGCTTCGCCAAATACAACAAATTGGCTAGGTGGAGGTAAAATGTAAAACGGGACATAGTGCTCAGGATTTATAAGAGTACATTTAAAATGAGGTTTCATGGACTTGTGTGAATAGAGCAAGTTGATTAAATCATGAAATCCCAGTTTAAATGTATAGTATTGTATCAGAAGCTGGTGATCAAAAGCATCTGTAATGCAGTCGGAGCACCAGTTCCGGCACAGCAGTCGCATGAGTCAGTGTGAGGTGCATATTATGTATGTATTGTAAAACCACACCTGCGGGCCTGTGCTGATGTCAGTCGCGATGACGGTGTATGGAGATTCAATAGCCAACATCGAAAATGTATTATTTTATTAATTAGCACCAACATTAGCGGGTTTGGTGGCGAATTAATCTTGCTAGTTTGTTTTGGCACAACTCGACACTTCCACCGTACCACTGTTAGATTTGTTTGCATTTATGCTCATATATTATTTATTTTAAAGGCAAATAGTACAGCTTTTTATATTTCATAGTTATTAACATGCATTTTATTCGCTGATTAATGCTAGGTCTAAACACTGATGAAGAGGTCAACCAAGAAAAGCCTAAATGATTGATGAAAGAGAAATTTAATGACCGCTTTGCTCGGAGAACTAAGTCCAAATAAGAAAGATGTTGTGGTGAGAGCGTCAACTTTTCAAGTACTAAGTAAGTAAGCCCCGCACAAGTTTCACTTGGTTTCATGGTTAATTTATAATTATGCAGTAAACCAGAGGGTACACTTTGGCTGTACAACTAATTTTACTTCATTATGAGCTCAGATTTGAATATAAAATTCTTCTCTGACGTAATTGTGCAACCTACTTCCACAAAACGCTTTAGCGGAACAGTTTAGGATGCAGACCTTGAGGGACGCCTGTAGCTTTTGTTAGGAAGTATCAATCAGGTATATTACGAAGTCGTACATAACAATGTGAAGAAACTAGTGTGCCACCTACATTCAATGTGTTTCAATTGAGTGGCAACCCACCGGCTGACGGCGCATCTCATTTGACCTCATTTCAAATGGAGCATGGCAGTTCACCTGACACGACTCTCGTCGGTACATATGAGCCACAAATTAACAATAAGTAATATTACATTATAATGCCCACAAAGGGCACAGTGCTCGTATTTATGTTAAAACAGTTCCTAGCAGTTAAATACTAAATAAATAAAACATCACCATTTTGATGGCAGCGCGGTATTGCACAGGGTTCTATATTACAATTAATCATTCATTCAAAATGTGTGAGGAAATCAGAAGTTCAGATAAATTGCTAAAACATTTCAAATGTTGCGGTGAATAATAAATTCAAATTACTTTTGTAACCAAAAATACCACTGACAACTCAATTGCAATCTCAACAGAAGAATTACGTTACGTACCTACATATATTTTAGTCGGAGAGTTAGTTCTTCAATATTCTTTGAAATGAAAAATAGTATCTACGTAGTATTGTATTAGTACCAGTCGCTAGCGAAGACCGCGAAGATTTTTCAAAGAGAAATATTTTCTAAAGCGATTTAGAACAGAAGCGGTGCAAATAATATTCTTTTCAAACGTCGGTCGTGTGCTAAAAAAAGGCTGTCATTGATTTATAGGTGTTCATGACGTAGCAAAACGCCGCAGTCGTGAATTTATTACATTATGCTTTTCCTACGTCAATATTATCGCGTGTATCATGCGCGGTAATTGGCTATTGTACAGACATTACAACAGCAACGAGCAATTATTCAACACATTAGTAAACAACAGCGGCACTACTATGTATCAGAACCTTTATTGTATCTAGATCTAGCACTGGCAAGTCAAAGTCAACCAGATTTTAAAAGCAAGCAACTTTACATTTCCACAGGAACAGGAAATGTTACAAATTTTATTCGGAAAATTGTGGTAACAAATTATGTAGGTACGGAAATAATCCACCTTATTTTTAAGAATAAAATAAAACAATAGTTAAATATGTCTTTCCTCAACGAGTGCAGTCATGTACCTCAAAAAAAGGGAAACGGACAATAGGAATATTTTCCGAGAGAAAGATCTTTATGTACAATCTCGTCATTATCTGAGTAACAGAAGAGGGAGGGCAGGGAAAGCCCCATTCTTTCTACACCGTTAACAATGGGGATCTGAGGCTTACGCGACCGACTCGGAGGCTGATAAATAATCTAGACAGGGCTGACCACACGAATTATTACGACAGGGTTACGCCAACATTAATTTCTCACTCAACTTGGCATTCACTTGATCCCGATAAGGTCGTCTTATCAAAGATTAGAACCCTTTTATCATTAGGTACCAACGTTTACAACAAAAGCTTTTTCTATTATGAAATAATAACAAGCGTCCAATTCGGGAGTCAGGTTGCCTCTTTGTCAAAGGATCTCATTTAATGGCACTCTCTTGTTCAGTCGTGTTCTCGTTTTTTCGCATCAATTATTTTTTCTTGGCCGCCTTTACAATAAGTCGTTTGACATAGAAATCAGAGGATTATAAATAGGTGAGAGTTTGCCGCACCGCTGCCGCACCTCCACGGTGTTCTAGGTCGCGACCTTATGGGCGCACGTTGCCAAGCGCCGCATTTGGCAATGCTAAGCCTCTAAAAGTTTGGCGATGCAAGCAAGCTTTCAGACGCAAACATATTGCATTCGTTTCGTTTGCAGTACCGCTATGTTTGCTATAAATGGTCATGTTACTGTAGCCAATGTTACGTCTAATGAAATTGAACGTACATAATAAACGTATCTACTATTTATATTCTTTTTCTAAAACCACCTTAGAAAGTGGTTCGCCAAAGACTTTGTGCCACAAAAACTACACCCTAATAGAATCTTTACAAAAACAATTTTCTTAAATAAGCTATAGTATTATTTATCACGTGTCCTTGTTGGGTCTGAGCGGTATGTATTCATTTCAGTAATACGTAATGAGAATTAGTTGCGAGCCACTGACCACGTCGACGGCTACAAAACAAACAACATGGCAGTTATTTGTGTTTCTAAAGTTTACCAAATTAATTTTACGAGTACATTTTCTTTTGCTTACGAAAATTATCATGATGCCAAGAAAGACCAAGAAACCGATTCAAATATTGTGGTCAAGAAACGAAACTCAGGAATGGTTATAATGTACGATCATTACTATTCCAGTTGACGACGTGGTTAGAAGAGTCGTTTAAGAGAAATCGCGGTGCAAAAAGCATACAGACCCGGGACTTTAGTGTGAGGAAAGCGATCACATCATGTCAATCAATAGTATCGTCACTGTAGCATGCAGACTATTGCTGTCATGAACGGATTGCGGCTCGACCGCCGGCATTGACAACCAATCGATACTGAACATCGACTTTGACGTCAACTCGCTTTCATCGTCTGTTCACTGGCATTTTAATATTCTAAACTTTGCAACGACATCTGTGTCAGCGGCGTCCCGGATTTTTTTGTTCTTTTTTAAAGACCGGACACAAGGCCTTAAAGAGGGCGGAAGGCTCGAGAGGCCTTTACCCAGCAGTGGGTGAAAGTAGGCCGAATAGACAGAAATCTTTTGTAGTACATTTGACAGCCAAGAGTGAATTCACAGAATTTTGTAGATTGAATGAATTGCTTGCGAGTGCTAGATTAAGAGAGTTACGAACTATAATGTGCTTTAATTATTATGTTACCTTATAACCCGAGATTAAAGCAACATTTTATAAATATAGTGCTCGCCGTGTTCCCATTTCAGAAGGTACGCGGCTTGCATAGGGCTGCTGGCGTTTCATCTTTGTGCTTTGATCTGGAGCTGCAGCCGAGATTAATGAGGACTTTGTCTCACACCATAGCGAACGTATAGTACACGCTACCTTTTATTCATACTAAGTACTCAAAGTTCAAAAAATCTTAAGTAATCATCTTCATCTTTAGTTAAATCCACTTTGTGTCTCTATACATTTTATTGAATGTTGAGCAGAGCACCGCACGAGCAATATTTATTTTTACCGCATTTTAGCAAAATGGCCGCGGATGGCTCTAATAAATCACGCGTGATCCGATCACTCGTCGGTCTCCGCGGGCTGAGCTTATCTACGGCTGGCTAAAAAAGGCCCATGACAACACAACGATAGCCTGTTTGCGCTCCAAGCATGCATTATGCATGAAATTTATCCAACCTACTTACCACAATAAACAAAATATAGGCACATCGAGGTTACAGTATCTTCGGATATTGATTCTACATATTATTGAGGGTTATATATATGAAAGAAATAAATAAACGATTCCATTCCAAAATGTCAAAAATCTAGATCAATTCCGAGGTCGGCTATTGCCCTTAATATTCGTTATAAATCCGCGTTTAGTAGTAAATCTCAATATACAAGTTTTAAATTTGTTTATAAGAATTAAAGGTCTCATTTCAATAATTAAAAACTATTACTACTACAGTTTCGCACCAGACCCCGAGTAAATTTCTGAACTATTATATAACAGACCCGTTGCGTCAGCA